GACTTGGTGATGGGAAACCCGCGGGGATTACAATTGAGATGGAAAAAAAAATGTACAAAGTGATGTAAAAATAAACTTTTGTAATAAAAAAGAATTAAAAAATACAAAAAAAAACAAGGAGAATAGAATCAGAAAAAAATTGTGTGTGAATATGATCTCAAACCACCAGAGCTGAGGTAATTACAAAGTCCACTGTTTACACTATCCCTTGATACCCTTACACATCTTGAGCACTAAATTTGGACATGGAAATAACTAAGGTTGATTATAAAGCTTTGCTCATAATATAAAATGTGGATTCTACTTCAAGGAGTAAATAAATAGGGTCAATACAGGCAGACACATTACTTTTAACATGTCAGTGTCATTTCATAAGCTGGGAAAGGAAATTATGAGATGGTGGGTTTCATAATTTATATATTCCCTATCATATTACAATATATGTTATATTTAAACCTTGTGTAATATACTATAATTTTTTTAATTATAATATTATAAAATATAAGTTGGAGGAGGCAATTGTGAAAACAGAAGCAGTAAATCTAGCTTCAAAATGGGCAAACAGATACATGGAAATAAGTTTTCATATAAGCAGAATAATTATGGCTAGCTCACCAAGGAATTAGTTTTATAATAGGCACTAACAAATACATATAATACATCACAAATTGCCACACACTAGGTAAACAGGGGAAAAAACTAACATTGGGCAAGCTCAGAGAGAATTTCAGTTGACTGATAAAACTGTTGGAAAAAAACCCATACATCAAACATGGCCATAGTAGACTTGGTGGGGATGGTGGTTGGTTGATTAGTGGTGTATTGAGGGTGATTAAAGACTTTGAGAGGGTGAAAGGTCAAAATAAGGAAAGGATGGCATTGGGCTCAAGTTGCAACTCTTCCACCAAGTCCCAAGTGCCTTAGAGTGCCCAGACTGTTATTGGCATTCAGCAAGAGATATTTATTATTATGCTCATCAGATAAGACAGGCAGGAGTCATGAATCTTGGCAGAAAGACAAGCCCCATAGATTTTCTCTGACTAAAAGTCATATAACTTGAAAGGTTTATTGCTGAACTGATTATGTAATGTAGCTTAGAAAGAACAGATTTAAGATAAAGATTTGAAGCCCTCAGGCAGTTTAGGAAAGAGAGTTGGGCAAAGTGATGATGCATTAGTAGGCCATTTAAGAACTGCCTGCCTTTTAAATCTAGTTTCAGACTATAAAGCAACAGTCTGTGGGGCATGGTAAAGGGCACCAATTTGGAGTGAGAAGATGTGAGATCAGTCACTGACACACTGTGTCTTCCAGCAAGCCCACCATACACAGTAAGTGGAGGAAGTGAAGCATGAGTTAAACTTGAGAATCATCGAAGATACATTTTATGTTTGCCATCTCTTAGGCTTCAGAATAACCCTATTTTCCATACCCAGATATTTGACTGCATACAACCTCCAGAGCACCAATAACCTAATTAAGTCAAACCTCCAGGTCTTATCCAGTTTCTCTTGGCCTACCACAGTTGTTTCCTACTCTGGAAATTAGATAGGTACAAGTCCATTAGATTCACTCAGAGAACTTTAAAAATGCCAAGAGTCAAGCACCACTGCCACAGATTTTGACTTAAAAGATTCCCTAACGATTTCCATATGAAGCCAGAGTGAAGAACTTCTGATTTACACAAACTCTCTGGTCTTTTTTCTATAAAAAGTCCTCACTTTCTAAATCTTGGGTTCTTCACATTTGTTTGGTGGCCTTTTGATGATTCACAAATTCTGCACTTCTAATGCATTTTCTACCCATGTGCTTATTATTTTAACTCTGGTTAGTTATTGAGACTAGGTCTCCTAATCAAGCCAGCTAGGTTTGGATCCATTATAATTTTTATCCTAAGGCACTAAAATAATTGTTATTACATTGGTTTGTATTTGTTGATTCATAACATTGCAATGATAATCAAGGCCCTCATTCAAGCATATCATATTAATTCAGATTGTCTTGCTAATTGTTATATGTTCATCCCATTACCTAAATTTAGTCAATAATTGATTTATAATTTACTCAAACATCTCTATAGAAACATAACTTTATACACTACAATTCACACATTTAAGGCATACAATTTCTGTACTTAGTCACATATATGTATAACTATAAGTACAGTGGGTTATAGAACATTTTTTTATCATCTCAAAAATTAATCCTATACTTTTTACTTGTTGCTCAACTTGTCCTTGCGAGCCCACTCATATTCTTACACAACATTAATCTTCTTTCTGTCTATAGATTTCCCTGTTCTGTAATTTCAAATTAATAAATTCATAAAGTATGAGATCTGTTACTGACTTCTTTCACTTAACATATTTACTGGGTTTATCCATGTTATAAACACATTAATGCCAATTTCCTTTTAATGACTGAGTAACATTCCATTGTACAGATAAACCACATTTTCTTTAATTGTGTTTTGATGGATATTTGTTTTCTACTGTGGGTTATAATGAATAATGCTACTATAAACAAGTTTCTTTCTGTATGTGTCTTAATTTTGTAACCGGTGGCAACCAGTGGCTGAAACCATAAACTGTTACAGATGGTGCCCCTTAGAGGGGGTTGTTGGTAAAAATAAAGTGCCCCAGGAAAAAATGGTAAAAGTAGGGTGGAATGACTGATAAGGTACATAAGGGACTACAAAAGGCACTGGCAGCATGGTGCAATGAGGTATGGTGGTATGGCACACAATGACAGAACTGCCTGGGCAGTCTCAAGTTGGTACAGGGCTACATAGTCTCATCTAAGCGGTAGTTTTGGTAAGACTGACAAAAAAAAAAAAAGGGGGGGGGGAGACGCAGGAACCAAGGATCTCATTGACTGGTGGCCCAGAACATAAAAAAGGAGGCCTGGGAGCCAGTGTCTCACTGACTATTGTCCTGGTGAAGAAAAATGGGAGATGTGGGAGCCAGGCATCTAGCATGAATGTGGCCATTTGTTGGGTCATTCAGCTGCTGCAGCTACTGTCTTAAGAATCACCTGCCTGGTGCTCTTCTTGTGTATTTTGTCAGCTCAAGGGACATCTAAGTACTAAGTCTAAGTCCTCTTGCAGTTATGCACATGATAAAAGAAATTAGACACTGACTGGTAAATTATTTGTGTTGGGGACTGAGGCCGGCATCTGGCATCTGTCAGCAGCCATAAAAAGGTGAAATGGAGTCCGGATAGAGAAAAACATCCAGGTTGTAAAAGGAATGTGGGAAGAACTCCCTGCCCCCACCTTTTCCTTTTCCTCTTTCTTTTTTCGCCCACTTTCGCCCCTCGCGAGACCAACTGCTACCAAAACATTGCTGCATGTCTATTGTCCATTGGCTTTATCCCTTCCCGACTTCTGCATCCCCCACCTCTTGTATTTTATGTAAACTGAGATAAAAACAAAATAAAGAGCTCTCTCTTTGTTCTGCTACATGTGTGTGACTGTTTCCTTTGTTCACCAGACCTGGGGCCCCGACTCCCAGGCCTTGCTAGTCAAGGTCCCCCGCAAAAGTGGCGCCCAACGTGGGGCCTCCAGGCTCACCGGTGGTTTTCTTTCTCTCACCGGTTATCGGTTTCCTTCTATTTTTCTGACCGATAATCCCCCGGGCCCAGGCCCTATAAAGTTTTGCCAGTTTTTCTTTATCGGCTGTTAGCTCTCTTGCCTAACAGTCCCCCGGGCTCATGCCCCCCATTTTGTGAAAAGATTTAACGTGTTTTACGTCTGCAGACCCCGTTTCTTCACCGTCTGATCAACGGATTTGACCTCTCCTACGGGTAAGTCCCCCTTCTCGGAAGCTTCCAACTCACTGAGGACTATAGCGGGGACTCTGGCCGTGATAGTCCGGCAGACCTCCGACGTCCCAGTGAGAGGGGAACGCACCCCACCACGTCCTTTACGACTACGGTGGACCCCTGGATCTTCCTCACCCTAGATCCTTAAACTGTTATAGCTTCTATTTTGCTGCCACTTTAGTTTTATGGTTGTTGTAGCACTAACACGACATTAAAAACATGGGACAGGAGCTTAGTCAGCATGAATTGTATGTCTCCCAGTTAAAAGACACTCTTCAATCTAGAGGCATTAATGTTAAAACCAAAGATCTCCTCAGGTTTTTCGACTTTATAAAAGAAACTTGTCCTTGGTTCCCCCTCGAAGGCACCATAGATTATAAACGTTGGTTACGAATGGGGGACGCTCTCAATGATTACTTCAGAACATTCAGCCCCGAAAAAATCCCCGTTACAGCTTTCTCTTATTGGAATCTTATCAGGGAAATTCTCTCTACCGACAATGATTGCCCAAAACTTCAAAATACAATAGCTCAAACGGAGGCTATTTTGCGCTCACGGCCCGGCACCCTGGCTGCAGTGGAGTCAGAGTGCTTAGCTCAGAAAACACAGTCTAAAATCCAAACAGATCTTATCTCCTTTCCTAGCGATAAAAACGAGCCCTCACAAGACACAGACCCCGATAAGATTAATCCTACTTTAAAAACCATGCCCCTCCTTCCTAATACTACCTTAAAAATCTATCCCCCACTTCCCTTGCCCGATTCTCCCGACAAACCAAACAATCAAGGCGTTTTATACACTCCACAAGACCCTGACCCTTCCGGTGTCCATTGGGACAAATTAGCAACACAAGCGGCTCGATGTAATCCTACTTCCTCACTTTCTCTGGCTGCTGTTGCCGCTAATCTCACTCGTCCCTCGGGTCCGTCCAGACCGCCATCACTAGATAAACAACCCCCCTCAACAGAGTTAAAATCCCAACTGGTCCAACTGAAAAATTGCATCCATAATCTTACCTTGCAACGTTCTCAGTCCACTCCGCCCTCTTTGTCCGCCGCTTGCGCACCCGCCATCTTCCCATCCGCGCCCACAGCGGCCGTTTTGTCTCCTCCGCCCCCTTACACCTTGCCCCTTCAGGCATTTCCTGTTATTCAAATCACTAATGACCAGAGCCAGGTCATTCGTCATCATCAGCCTCACAACTTCCGCTTTTTAAAAGAGCTTAAAGAGGCGGTTTCTCAGTATGGCGCTTGCGCTCCTTTCACTTTAACCATTGTGGACTCCCTCGGTGATAATTGGCTGACCCCTTCTGATTGGCACTCCCTCGTTAAGGCCACACTCAGCACTGGAGACCATTTATTATGGCAGACTGAGTTTTATGAACTTTGTAAGGAGTTTTCACTGGTTAACCAGCGGAACAATAGTCCGTGGACCCTAGAAATGTTAACGGGCATGGGCCCCTATCTAGATCCTCAAGTTCAAATCAGTTATGATCCCGGCCTGTTTATACAAATTTCAGCCGCGGCCACTCACGCTTGGCGCAGGCTTCCTGTTACTAGTGGGCAACAGGCGCCGCTTACCAGTATTAGGCAAGGGCCCTCTGAGCCGTTTCAGGATTTTGTCGCCCACCTGCAAACGGCCGCTGAACGCTCCCTGGGCTCCTCAGATACCACTCAGCACCTTATTCGACAACTTGCTTTTGAAAATGCCTCTCCTACTTGTCAGGCAGCAATCAGGCCTATCAAACGACAGGCTACCTCCATCACTGATTTTATCCGTGCATGCGCTGATATTATCCCTGCTTATGAGCAGGGCCTCGCCATGGCGGCCGCCTTTAGTGGCCAATCGGTGACGCAGTTCATACAGGCTAAAAACACCCAACAAATGACCTGTTTTAAATGTCATCAACCCTGTCATTTTGCTAATCATTGCCCTCAAGGGTTACAGACCCAGGCTCTTAATGCCCCTACAAAAACTCCGCCCACTCACAGGCCTTCTAAACCCTGCCCCCGTTGCAGAAAGGGATATCATTGGGCTAGAGACTGTCGTTCCACCACCGATGTAGAAGGAAAGCCCTTGCCTCCCCACTTATCAGACCCAAATGTAAGCCACTCCTCCTCCCCTCAGCCGGGAAACGCCAGGAGGTGCCAGCTCCCGGCCCCGAAAATAACAACGGGAGCATTCACCGCAGGGTGGCCTCAGACAGTGCCCCCCACCCATCCTTTTCAGACCTCACAAGGGCCACCCCAGGCAGCGCAGGACTGGACCTCTGTCCCTCCTCCGACACAATACTAACCCCTGAAATGGGCTATCAGCAACTCAAAATGGGATTTTTTGGCCCCTTCAAAATGGGAGTTTTCCCCCCAACACCTTTGGTTTAATTCTAGGAAGGGGGAGTATGGTTCAAAGAGGATTAAAAGTCCTTCCAGGTGTAATCAACAACGACTACACTGGAGAAATTTCAATCCTGGTAAAGACGATAAGCTTTGTTAAAATAGCAAAAGGCCAAAAAATAGCTCAATTAATCCCAGTTCCCATGATCAGGACTAGTCACCGCCTTATCTCCCCTGAGAGAGGCAACAATAATTTTGGCCCCTCTGATGTTTTCTGAATACAAGCCATCACAAAGGACAAGCCCATTCTCTCACTGACACTAGATAACAAGAGCTTTTCTGGTCTCATTGATACTGGGGCAGATGTCACCATTATTGCCCAAGAACATTGGCCTCCCTCGTGGCCTACTACTCCTACTCTTACCAACCTACGGGGCCTGGGACAGAGCCAAAATCCATTACAAAGTTCCAAATATCTCACCTGGAAAGACCAAGAAGGCAACACAGGATTAGTAAAACCTTATGTCATTCCCGGCCTTCCGGTCAATTTGTGGGGCCATGACCTACTATTTCAAATGAGCATTATCATGTTCAGCCCAAGTGACACAGTTACAGCCCAAATGCTTAATCAGGGCTTTCTTCCTGGAAAAGAATTAGGAAAGAACAATGAGGGCATCCGTCACCTACTCGCCCCCCAAGGTCAAACCAGTAGACACGGATTGGGGTATTTTCTGTAGGGGCCGTTGGTCAGCCTGCACCATCCAGACATACGGATCCCATTATATGGAAATCTGACGATCCCGTCTGGATCGACCAATGGCCCCTCTCAGCTCATAAGCTCTCCGCTGCCCGCCAGCTAGTGCAGGAACAGTTAGAGGCAGGTCACATAATATCTAGCTCATCCCCATGGAACACGCCCATTTTTGTCATACAAAAAAAGTCAGGCGCCTGGAGGCTTTTACAAGACCTCTGCGCAGTAAATGAGACTATGGAGCTAATGGGGGCCCTTCAGCCTGACCTCCCCTCTCCTTCAGCCATCCCTCATGACCATTACAAAGTTATCATTGACCTTAAAGATTGCTTTTTCACCATTCCTCTGTATCCTGAGGACCAAAAGCGATTTGCCTTTAGCGTGCCTTCCACCAATTTCAAAGAACCTTTCCAGAGGTATCAATGGACTGTCCTCCCCCAAGGGATGGCAAACAGTCCTATCCTGTGCCAAAAGTACGTGGCTCAAGCCATTATGCCCACCAGACAATGCTGGGGTCAAATGTACATTGTTCACTATATGGATGACATACTCGTATCTGGACAGGATCCCTCGGAAGTTTTAACATGTGTACTCCATTTAAAACAAAATCTTGTTGAGGCAGGATTACAGATAGCCCCTCAAAAAGTCAAACTTCAGGAACCATATATGTATCTTGGTTTCCAATTATCCCACAATCTAGTTCGAGTTCAAAAGCCTGCCCTACGCATAGATAACCTACACACCCTTAATGACTTCCAAAAACTCCTAGGGGATATCAATTGGCTCCGTCCTTACTTAAAACTAACTACGGGAGAGCTTAAACCTCTATTTGACATCCTTCAAGGGCCCTCAGACCCCACTTCCCCTCGAGCACTCACCTTGGAAGCTCGGCAAGCATTAACCAAGGTAGAACAGGCCGTGGCTGATCACTCTGTCCATAATGTCAATTACTCTAAACCACTTGATGTAATTATTTTCCACACTGAATTGACCCCTACTGAAGTTTTTTGGCAAGGCCACCCTATCCTGTGGCTGCATTTACCATCTTCACCCAGAAAAGTCCTCTTGCCCTACTATGAGGCTGTTGCTCAGCTTATTGTCGTGGCCAGAACGACCGGTCACAAGTTATATGGCAGGGACCCCTCAAAAATAATCCAGTCATACTCTAAATCACAAGTTAATTGGCTCTTACAAAATTCTAACTCCTGGCTTATTGCCTGTGCCTCCTTTTCAGGAATTATAGACAATCACCTCCCTCCTGATAAGCTCCTACAGTTCTGTAATACTCGTCAGTTCATTTTTCCACAAATTATTCGTAAAGAGCCAATTCCAAGTGCGCTGACAGTTTTTACAGACGGGTCCTCTAATGGCACCGTGGCCTATGTCTGCCGTGACTCTTGTGTGTCTTTTGTTACACCCCACACCTCTGCACAATTGGTCGAACTTGAGGCTATTTTAAAGGTACTCTCTGATTTTCATAATCAACCGTTAAACATTTATACTGACAGTTCATACCTCGCTCAATCTATACCTGCCCTTGAAACAGTTTCATTTATTAAGCCCTCCTCCACAGCGTCAGTTTTGTTCCAGACCTGCCAGAGATTGATTCGTCAGCACACCATGCCATTCCACCTTGGTCACCTTCGTGCTCATTCAGGCTTACCAGGGCCCCTGGTGCAGGGCAATGCTTTAGCGGACGCTGCCACTCGCGGTCCTCCCACACTCTTGGTGGACTCTGTTCAACAGGCAGAGGAGGAGCACGCCCTTCACCACCTCAATTCCCATTCATTGCGAGTTCTTTATCGCATCACTCGCGAACAGGCCAGACAGATTGTCAAAAACTGTCCCTCATGTCCCACCTTTGTTCCAGTTCCATCTCTGGGGGTCAACCCCAGAGGACTCTTGCAAAATGCTATTTGGCAGATGGATGTTACTCATCATACCCCTTTTGGGCGTATGCGTTTTATTCATGTCTCGGTAGACACCTTTAGTGGATTTCTCATGGCGACCCTGCAATCAGGGGAAGCCACCAGAATTTGGTCAGTGTACTTGGACTAGTATTGTGTCCCTTGCTGTCCCGTATCAATTTCTCTTGGGTATACACCTAATGATGGATTGCTAAATAATATGGTATCTCTGTGTTAAATTATTTGATGAACTGCTAAAATGTTACCTAAAGTGGTTGTATCACTTTATTTTATTTTGGGGGTATGTTTCACATACAACTTCATAAAATTTTCTTTTTTTAAAAAACTTTTATTTATTTATGCATACAAAAATGGAGTACAGGCCAGAGGTGCAGGGACAGTGAGAGGATTCATCAGAAACAGTGGGAAGAAGAACAAGCAGATTGAAAAAGTACACTGCTGAGAAGAGCAGCAGGAGAGACAGGAGAGTTATGCTTACCATGTGGATCATCACTGGGGTGGGGATTGAACTAGCAATGAAACAGCCACTGCTTGATTTAGCTTCACAGTGCAGAACTCCAACCCACTGCACCACCAGAGAGGGCCTGGTTGTATCATTTGATATTTCTAACAAAAGTATGTATGAGACTTCCAATTTCTCCACAGCATGATAAATACTTAATATTCATCCTTAGTAGGTGTGTAGTGGTATTTCATTATGGTTTTGATTGTTTTCCAGGTGACTGATTAATGTAGTTTTTGCCATTTATATGCCTTTGGAGAAATGTTTGCTCAGATCCATTGGCACCTCTTAAATTTTTTTCAGATGCTTAAAAAATTGAATGATTTTGGTACCTCCCTAGTGGCACAGCTGGTTAAAGCACAGCACTAAGAAGCTAAAACCACTTCAGCATAAGTTCATTCACCACCCCAGAAGTGATCCTCATGGTGCAGCAGACGTCTCCTGACCCACATGCTGCTCCCCTCAGCAGTGTACTTCGTCAGTCAGCCTGTTCTGCTCCCTACTCTGTCTCTGGTGAATCCTCTTACCACCCCTGCACCTCTGGCCTGTATCCCAGTTCTGTATGAATAAATAAATAATTTTTTAAGATTTATTTATTTGTGCATACAGAACTGGGGTACAGGCCAGAGGCTCAGGGGCGGTGAGAGGCTTCACCAGAGACAGAGTGGGGAGCAGAACAGGCAGATCGACGAAGCACACTGCTGAGGGGAGCAGAGGGCGGGTCATGAGAGGTCTGCCATGCCATGTGGTCACCTCTGGGCTGGCGGGAATCGAACTCATGCGGAAGTGGCTTTAGCTTCTCAGTGCTGCGCTTTAACCCCTGCACCACCAGGGAGGGCCTAAATAAAATATTTTTAAAAAATGAATGACTTTTCTGAATATGAAAGTTTATAGAAACCTTGCCTTTACCATTTCAGGTGATCCTACATCCTATACTTTTAAATTATGTGATCTTTCGAATCTCCTTTTAATACTAAGAAGGAGCATAAAGGAAGCTTTTAGCTCATGAATTTTTTTAAGGTCAGATGTGTGGGGGGTGGAAAGTGAGAGAATTCAACAGAGACAGAGTGGGGAGCAGAACAGGCAGATGTACTGAAATACACTGCTGAGGAGAGCAACCGTACAGTCAGGATATGTCTGCCACACCATGTGTGTCACCTGCTTGGCAGGGGAACGAACTCTTGGAGCGGTTGCTGGGATAGCTTCAATGTACTGTGCTTTAACCAGTTGTGACACCAGGGAGTGCCCTTCTACTATGTTTAACTATGCTGCAGGAGTTTGTATTTATCATGGTACCTGTGTCAAAATATGTCAATTATTGACTAAATTAATTAATTTCTGATTGCCTAAGTGATACCAAATAAAACTATTGTACGTTTGGAATTTTCTTATTTTTATTATTTTCATGCATTTTTTAATCTCTATTGTAATCCCCACGGGTTTACCATCACCTATTCACCCGTATGCCATCACCACAGTCCAGTACATTCTTCCCACCTCAGTTTTGATCCCATTCTCACTTCCACCCCCATAAAATGTCTCTGGTATACAGTTGTTCTTTTTTGATTGCTGAATACTACTTCATTGTGTATATGTACCACCTCTTTTTTATCCAGTCTTCCATTTTTGTACATTTGGGTTGATTCCATGTCTTCCTTATTGTAAATAGAGCAGCAATAAACATGGGTGTGCAGGTGTCCTTTTGAATCAATGTTTTTTGTGCCCTTTGTGTAGACACCTGGGAGTGGGATTGCTGGGTCGTATGGATGCTCTAATTTTAGCCTTTTGAGAAACCTTTAAACAGCTTTCCATAATGGTTGTATCAGCTTGCATTCCCACCAGCAGTAGGAGAGTTCCTTTTTTTCCACACTCTCACCAACATTTGTTGTTGCTAGTTGCTTTAATATGTGCCATTCTCAATGGTATAGGTGATTTCTCATTGTGATTTTAATTTGCATTTGCCTTATTACAAGTGATGTTGAACACTTTTTCATATGCCTGCTGGCCATCTGCTTTTCTTCTTTGGAGAAGAAATTTTTGTGACTCTTCTGACCATTTATTCATGGGGTTGTACACTTTATTTTTGTTGAGTTTAATCAGCTCTTTGTGTACGTTTGTGAGCATTCCTTTGTCATTACTATTGTGTGCAAATATTTTCTCCCAATCAGTGGGATGAATTTTGTTTTGTGTAGTGTCTGTCTTGCTGTGCAGAAGCTCTTTAACTTGATGTAGTCCCAGCTATTTATCCTTTCCTTTACTATTGTTGCTTTGGGCAATGTATCTTTAAAGATGTCATTGAGATGTATGTTATACAGCATTTCTCCTACCTTTTCTTCTAGATATTTTATGGTTTTGGTCTTATGTCCAGTTCTTTAATCCTTTTGGAGTTTTTTTTTTTTTTTTTGTGTGTGTGTGTGTGTGTGTGCATGGTGTGAGATAGTAGTCTAGCTTCATTTTTTTTTGCATGCATCTGTCCAGTTTTCCCAGCACCATTCGCTGAACAAACTATTTTCCATTGCATATTATTTCTCCTTTGTCAAAAGTTAGCTGCCCATAAACCTGTGGGTTTATATCTGGGTTTTCTATTCAAATCCATTTGTCTGTATGTCTGTTTTTGTTCCAGTACTGTGCAGTTTTGTTTATTATAGCTTTCTAGTGTACCTTGAACTCTGGGCTTGTGATGCCTACAGACTCTTTTGTTTTAGTCAAGAAAGTTTGACTATTAGACTTTTTTGTGGTTCCATATAAATCTCATCAAAATGTGTTCTATTTCTTTGAAGAATGTCATTGAGATTTCTTTTATTATTTAATTATTACAAAAGTTTATTTTTACATCATTTTGCACATTTTTTTTTCCATCTTGATTGTAATCCCCGCGGGTTTCCCATCACCAAATCACCCGTGGTCATTGAGATTTTTAATGGAATAGTGTTAAATCTGTATATTGCTTTTGGTAGGATAGTCATTTTAATTATGTTAATTCTTCTGATGCATATGCAGGGGGTATCTTTCCATTTCCTTGTGTCTTCTTGTATTTATTTTATCAGGGTTTTATACTTTTCTTTGTATAGATCCTTCAAATTTTTTGTTCGGTTTATTTCCAAGTATGTGTTTTTGTAGTAGTTCTTTTTTCTATTGTAGAAGGATGATTTCTTTGATTTCTACTTATAATTGGTTATTTATGCATAGGGAGTCTGCTGACTTTTATAAACTACAAGCTTGCTAAACTGGTTAATTGTTCTGATCAGTGCTTTTATGGAGTTCTTAGGGTTTTCCATGTATATTAAATGTCATCTGCAAATATAGTTTTACTTCTTCTTTCCCTATTTAGATTCCTTATATGTCCTTTTCCTGTCTTATTGCTCTGGCTAGTAGTTCCAGTGGTATGTTGAAGCGCGAGTTCCAATAGTGGACATCTTTGTCTTGTTCCTGATCTTAAAGGAAAGGCTTTCAGCTTGTTTCCATTGAGGATAATGTTGGCTGTGGGTTTATCATATGTGGCTTCTATCATGTTGAGGTATGTTCCTTCTATTCCATTGGTGTCAAGGCTTTAAACAAAAATGGATGTTGAACTTTGTTGAATGACTTCTCTGCATCTATTGATATAATTTTATGATTCTTATTTTTTGTTGTTGATTGATGTGATGGATTACATTAATTTATTTTCAAATGTTGAACCATCCTTGTGCCTCTGGTATAAAACCCACTTGGTCGTGGTGAATTATTCTTTCAATGCATTGCTGTATTCTGTTGACTAATTTTGTTGAGATTTTTGCATCAGTGTTCATAGAGAAATTGGTCTGAAGTATTCTTTTGTGTGTTTTCTTTGCTAGGTTTTGGTATCAGTGTGATGTTGGTTTCATAGAAAGCATTTGGTAGTTTTCCTTCTTTATTTTTTGAATGAGTTTGTGCAGGATAAGCACTAGTTCTTTTCTGAACGTTTGGTAAAATTCATTTGTAAATCCATCTGGTCCTTGGCTTTTATGTTTCAGAGCATTTTAATTACTTCTTCAATTTCATCGATTGCCATTGGCCTGTTTAGTTGTTCTAGTTCTTCTTTTTCTAGCTGTGGATAATTGTAGAGTTATAGGAATTTGTCTGTCTCTTCTAGATTGTTGAGCTTGTTTGCATATAGTTGTTCATAGTATTCTCTGATTATTCTTTTGATTTCTGCTTTATTTGTTGTGATTTCACCTGTTTCATTTATGATACTGTTTATTTGTACTTTCTCCTTTTTTCTCTGTTATCCTGGCTAGGGGGTTGTCTATTTTGTTTACTTTTTCAAAGAAACAACTTTTGGTTTCATTGATTTTTTCGATTGTTTTCCTAACTTCTATTTCTTTTATATCTGCTTTGACTTTCATTATTTCCTTCTATGTTTTTTGTTTGTTTGTTTGTTTTTGTTGTCTGTTTTTTTCCAATTCTTTAAGGTGGGATATTAGGTTATTTCTTTGAGTTGTATCTTGCTTCTTTATGTGAGTTTGTATTGCTATATATTTTCCTCCTGTAACTGCTTTTAATGTGTCCCATATGTTTTGGAGACTTGTGTCCTCATTGTCATTCTTCTCAAGGAACTTTTTAAAATTTCTTTCTTGACCTCCTAATTGATCCAATGGTCCTCCATTAGT